GTCTGTACGTGTGCGTGTACAGACATCTAGCTCATTTTTTTTCTTTTTTCCTTTGCCGTGTTTTTTCTTTTTTGAAATTTCCATTTTTTGTGAGTTTTTATCAAACAAGCATTAGCTAATATAAGCTGCCTGATGGTTTAGATGGGTTGTGATGTCATTTTTCACAATTAACTTCCGCATTCTGTATGATTTGAACCTATCGTTAGGATTTTTAGAGGTATCACATTGATACCTACGAGCGCGGTAAACTTGAAACAGCTTGGAATAAGTAAAAAGCATCAGCTTCATAAATAAATAAGTCCCGTACTGAAGACGGGTTTTTAGACAATATCCACTTGCATAAGCTCAGTTTTTATTTGAATTTACCATTGAAATGAATCCCAGAAAGCTCTTCATGATGAGTTGGAATCAGAAACTGGACTCGTCTTGCATGAAACCTACTATTTAATTTTAGACAGTCGCATTCAAAGGTACTATGAATTTTGATTTATTCAATTTTTCGCAAATTTTTTCCCAGAAAATCCTTGAAAAAAGAAAAATTTTTGTTCCAGCCTTCCCCAACTTCTGTATCCAACGGTAACTGCAGCCGCAGCAACAACGAATCCTCTGATCAGCACACTGAGTGGATTACAGGCTACGACACCATTAGCAAATCAGGTGAACACATCTCAGGCCCAGCAACAGCAGCAGTACATCGACTACGCAACTCTTGCAGCAATTGCAGCAGCCGGTAGCGGTGCTACCGCTGCCACTGCAGCGGCAGCAGCAGCTCAAGCCAATCCGTTCTCCTTACATCCTACAGGTTTGCGCTTCATTCTTGCTACAGTGATAAAATCAAGATTTTTTTACAGCAGAAATAGTTTGGATGTTTTTGGTAAGAGACAAATCCAGTGATACTTATTTTAAAACTTTGATCAGCTGTTGTTTCACCGTCGTTTTGGCACGATTTTTGCACTATGCAATGCAAAAACGCATATTGTCAAGGAGTTGCCTGTGTGTGCATCTGTACCGATTTTTCATCTCGAGACATAAAAAAGCTACAAGACTGGAAACTGGAGAACTTAATCTACCTGCATGCACGGGCCTCTATCCCCAAAATGGACGCTCTTGCCTACGTGCTTCCATACATAGGCCCATATAAGTTTTTTGCGGGTAAGTTGCTAAGTCAGGAACCTGAAAATATCCCTAAAATTCCAGCTTTGGTGAGAGCAGAAAGTAGGTGTAAAGCAACAATCATTCACGCAGTTAATGACCTAAGTACTTCAAGTCTGGTGCAAAAACGCATGATCGCATCAGCAAGCCTGGGTTACTATTAAGCATGCTAAAATTGTTCATAAATGATGCCTTATTGCTTTACTTCAGTATCAGCAGCAACAGGTCTGGAGCAGTATGCATACACACCATATGGCTTGGTACCAGCTAACAGCTATGCAGCTCAACTGTCGGCCGCTCAATCACAGCTTGCCGCTGTTACGCAACAACAAGCTGCCCTGGAACACCAACGCGTATAAAACCGGCTAAAATACTCGTTCCGTCCATCACCAAGAAAATGCTAGTCATATAAGTGCTATTTTTGTTGACGAATTGCAAGCAACAAGATGCTGGTCATTTTATAAGCTAATTTGTTAATAACAATAATTTGGTTACTTTTAATTAATCTCCTAACCGTCATACCTAGCTTTTGCTGTCTTTTTCGTCAGTGACCACGTCTCACATCCGTACGTCATTGCCTTCAACACATTGGTACTGAAGATGTGGGCAAGGTGCTTCCTGTTCGAAAAATCACTGGTTAGATATGACTGACCTCATATAAGCTGAGGTGGGGTATTTGCCGCTCAAATAATTTACTGGTACTATTGCAAGCATTGTTAATACACTGAACTAGTGCTGTGAAGATGAGTAGCTGGGATCAAAGAGCTCGGCATATTTAGTTCAGCGGTCAAATTTTGACCACTGATAAAGTTGTTTGTACGATTGAAAAGCGTGCACCCAATTTTTGGATACCTCAGCTTCCAATCGAGCTTCTTTCCCCAAAATGACTCTTGAACTTTGAATGGCGTTTTTTTTTAACCTTTACTTAAACACGCATTTTTTTTTTTTCAAGTTAGATAAGCATTGCTGCTGTTTTAGATTTAGACTAAGCATTGCAACTACTAAAGAACTGTAAAACATGTGTTTTTTCTTTATTATGTTTAATCTTTATGTTTAAATGCATTATAGTTAATTTCAGTATAACAATCTGAATCTGAATTTAGCGCCTTTTGATTTATTTTTTCGCATTTTTTTCCGCTGGGATAATTTTGCATGGTTTTGTCGTGTACAAATACAAGAGGGGGAAAATAAATTTTCCTCTATTTTGAGGCAAAAGAGAGGGAAGAGGGGGGGG